TTGAGGTAACTAAATAACTTCCTCTATTTAATTATCTGGTGTAACTGTTTAAAAGTATGACTAGTAATGCACGAAAAAAGTTTTATTATAAGCATATTTGTTAAATGAATGTTTATTCATGAAATTGATTTCTAAAGAAAGGGATTTTTTATGAATTGCATGCTTAAGACTATATATATATCGAGGTTATATATATGTGGCTTATATATGTATAAAGATGTAATATATGTAGAAGCATGATCATTGGGGGTGAGAGTTCAACTATGTGGAGAGGTAGAGAAAGACCTATGACATTATTCTCCTTAGTGCTTGACGGGGTGTGGTGTTGAAAATTATATCTCCTTAATGCCTATTGAGGTGCGGTGTTGGAGATTATCTCCTTAATATCTATTGAGGTATGGTGTTGGAGATTTAAACTCCTTAGTATCAATGTGATGTGGTGTTAAAGTTAACGACACCCTATTGTGTGTATTAGAAGAAACCATAGTCTAGAACTAAGATAAAACACCTTTGGCTGGGTGATTTTACCACTAAAAGTGAGCTCAGGTTAATGAGAGTATATGTTAGTCTAAGGCAAGCCTATGGTTTCATGTCAGGGTGATTTGGAGGTACAGTCGGTAGTGATCATGTTATATGCTAGAAAAGTAGTGAAAAGCGGTAAATTGTGGTGTATAAAGTTTTAAAAGTGGTGAAATGATATATACTAATGAGAATTGAAGTGAAATTTATATTATATGTTATGTTTAATTGTATATTATGCTATACTTGCTTATGGTTTCATGTGATAGTCAATAGTAGAGAGTTATTCTATTATTGAGATTATTATCTCACCCTGTAGTTACATTTTTATAAGATAGAGTAGTGAGCTGGGCAAGGGAAAATAGTCTAGACTGGTATAGTGGTGCTGTGGCCATGGGAATCATTGAGTTTTTTTTGTAATGAACTAATTTAATGTGAATTTGTGTATATGAGTTGCCATAGGATTTGCCTGCATGTTTGAATTGTGAATTGTGGGAAAATTGTAGTGAATTTATGAATCTTAGCTCATTTGTGGAAATGTTTGGTGAAATGATTAACTGAAATGGGCTAAGATTTAGTTGTGTATATGTTGTGGGTATGTGAAGGTGTGATTTTGTGGCGATATTGTAGTGAAAATGGTAAAGTAGGCTAATTTATGTTAAGTGGTGAATAGTTATTGAAATGTAAAAATGAGCAGTGGAACGGTCAAATTTTGATATATGTGTATATATGTGATAAAATATGATCAATTAAGTGTATTAGGTCCTTTTGGACTTGGTTCAAGGCCTAAAATGGTCTAATGAGATTAAGGAATCGATTTAAGCGCTTGGTGCGTTAATTTCTTTGAAATAGTGTCTTTTTACACCTGGGTGTTCAAATTTTGATCGGATCGTTAGATTGTGTCCAAACTTATCTTATTAGTTAGTTTAAGAGCTAAGCTTTGTGTGGGCATTTGAATGTCATGTGTGAAAATGGCGCATACCAAAAGTTCATCATTTCTACTGTCAAATGATAGTAGAAAAAATAGGCTTGTGCACTATGGCGCATGGTACAAAGAAGATCAGAACGTGTGGCTTTATGCCACATGCCACAACATATGTGTTGCATGTCGTGGTGTTTAGCCCCTAATATGAACTTATCTCTTGTTTTAGTGGCATGTAATGATGTATAAGAGTACAAGTAATTTGTTTCCTCTATGTATTGCTCTAATGTGTCATGATTTTGATGATTTTGCGAAATAAGTTTTGGGCTCAAGCTTTTCAAACAAAGTATTTGATTATTGTTTGGTTGTTCTGGTGGTGATTAAGTTAATTCTTTCCTATATTTAGCGATTATAGGAGAGGGTTACACAATCTATCTCTAATAGTACTAAGATTTCCAAACAAGAATAAGACTACACACTTAGGCCTTCATGTTGCTAGTATACCATATAGATTTCATACAATGTCCCTTGATAACTCTAGGATGAACTCTCACCCTCTCATAATGATCATGCTCAAATATGTCCACACATAGCCATGCACATGTGAATTATTCTCTAACCATCCTTTCCATAATAAATCATACAATTTCGCAAGTGTATACATATATATTTATGATTTAGAATAAATCTCTTTTAAAACCTTAAATATGCAATATATAAGTACATTATACTTTACATAAGGTTTCTAATTCGAATCGCTTTATATACTAATAGTATACTACTTCAAAACCATAAGAGATAGTTTTCACAATTTCACGCAATTATCCAAACATACAAATAGTAAGTTTAGATAATTTGGTTGCCTCAACTCCTTTTGTCCCTAAAAGGTTTACTGTGGTCAATTATTGGCTCCACAAGGTCTATTAGCTCAACAGGACTCGATCAATATTTAATATATAAGGTTAAACACTAATCATTAATTATAACTATAATTAACCCACTTTCTATCTTAATTTTGGGTACCCACAATACCCAAAATGTAACCTCCTCTTATATTTACTCAATATAAAAGAAGATTATAATGTTACCACTATCTCATATCAATCATAATACCAAAATTTAATTTCAAAAGCTTCGGCTGAAGACTTATTTTGGAAAATCAATCAATTCATAATACAATTAGAAAAAGACATAGCGGAAGTAAATCATACAAAATGAAAGTAAACATAGTATATCATCAAAACCTCATAAAATAGCAATTATATCATATAACATGTTAGCATGATCTCTACCAACCGAGCCTCCAAATCACCCTGACATGAAACCATAGGCTCACCTTAGACTAATGTACACTCTCATTAGTCTTGAGCTCACCTGCAGTGGTAAAATCACCCAGCTAAAGATGTTCTAACGCACAATACAGACTATAGTTTCTCCCAATATATACAATGGGGTATCATTGACCCCAACCTGTATCACAAAGACATTAAGGAGTTTCTCATCTCCAACACCATACCTCAATAGGTACTAAGGAGATTTTCTCCAATACTGCACCTTTTAAGGCACTAAAAAGAATTTTTTCCAACACCGCACCCTAACAAGTACTAAGGAAACCTTGCCATATGGTCTTTATCATCTCCTACACTCGGGTGAACTCTCACCCCTATGATCATGCTTTCTCGAACCATTTAAGGTTCCATTTATCATTTCACACTTTCTTACACATAATATATACAATTAATATTTTACATTACAAAACACACATTTCCATGTTATTTCAACCAAAATCCATTTCACACAACAATCACTCAATGCTATAAAACATGCTTAATTTAAAATCATTTCATGCACTATATAGCATACTAACATACAATTACCATAAATAGACAAACAAAGGAAGTTATTTAGTTACCTCAACCCTTCTATCACTAGAAAGGTTACCTGTGAATTTCAACTATCACACAAGCTTATCTCAAGCTTCCTTTCTCTACTCGCGCATCCAATATGCCAACCTGAACACATTTGGCACATTTTAGTCATTTGGTCCATTTTGACCAAAAACTCATTTTTACTACCTAAGGCTATATTCATCTGTAAAATATTTTCCATTTATCCATTCTAAGTCCATGACTACCCAATTACTACTTTACATTACCTCAACGATCGTATTTCACTCAAATCAGATTTTTGTCGTAACTTTCTCTCTCTAAGGGCTAAAGTTGAGCTTATAGGTTCAAAGCTTTACCGTTAAGCTCTAAATCAGTCACAAAGCTCTAATTTAACTTCTGAGAACCTTTTTATTATTATTGGGAAATAATCAAACCCCTCAAATTCCATCGATTCAATTTCCCTATAACTAATTTTCAGAGAAATTTGTGTAGAATGAAAGGAAATAGTTATATGTAGCTTACCTGACAAGTTATCGATCCTAATCACCTTGTACTGCTCCAAAATGCCTTGACTTAGCTTTTCAGCCCTTCTCCCCTCTCTATCTCGTGTGTTTCTCAATTTCACTCTTCTAAAATTTCATGTTATCAAGAGTCATGCCTTAACAGAAAACTTTAACCAATTATGTAGTCTTGTTCCTTAACTGCTTCTCTTTCACATCTATGATTCGCTCTGGCTCAGCCTTATAGGTTAAATTCTCCTAGAGTTCAATCTCTTTCGGTTCTATAATGTGTGAAGGATCAGGTTGATATTTCTTAAGCTGCGACACATGAAACACCAGGATTAGGTGGCAAAGCGATCCTGTAGGCAACTGGTCCAATACTCTCTAGAATCTCAAAAGGACTAATGAATCTAGGAGTCAATTTCTTAGCTCTTATCGATCTCCCAATTCTCATCACTGGTGTAACTCTCAGAAACACATGGTCTCCCACCAGGAACTCTAGCAGCCTTCTATGCCTATCCACGTAACTCTTCTGCCTACTTTGAGCTGTTAATAGCTTTTTCCTAACCAACTCAATCTTTTGAGTTATTTGATCTGTAATATCCAGTCTTAACATACTCTTTTTGCTCAACTCCATCCAACAAAGAGGCGATCTACATTATCTCCCATACAATGCCTCATACGGTGCCATTTGTATACTAGAGTGGTAACTGTTATTATAAGGAAACTCACCCAAAGGAAGATAGCTATCCAGCTATCTTTTAACTCCAATACATAGGCTCTCAATATATCCTCTAAGGTCTGTATGGTCCATTTTGTCTACCCATATGTTTGTAGATGATACACCATACTGAATCTCAACTTAGTACCTATGACATGCTGTAAAGCTCCCCAAAATTTGGAAGTAAATCTTGGATCTCTACCAAAAATTATATTCTTCAGCACACCATGTAACCTTACCACTTCTCAGACATAAATCTCTGCCAACTTTTCCAGAGAATCACTAATCTAAATCACTAAGAAATAAGTCGATTTAGTAAGTCTATCGACTATGACCCAAATGGCATCATGTCCAGATTGAGTTCTTGGCAACCCAGTTATAAAATCCATAGAAATACTCTCTCATTTCTAGTTAGAAATATCCAACAGTTGTAACATTCCTGCTGATCTTTAGTGCTCTATCTTAACCTTTTGATAGGTTAAACATCGAGTTACAAACGTTGTTACATCTTTCTTCATACCAGGCCACCACCAATACCGCTTTACATCTTGATACATCTTTATAACTCCCGGATGAATGATGTACTTGCTACAATAAGCCTCATTCAAGATAACTCTTCTTAGATCTACATCGTCAAGCACACAAATCCTATCCCGGTAAACCACAAAACCATCATCACTAAATCCAAAATCAACAGCTTGATCTACTTCAATCTCTTTTCTAACCCTCAAGAGACTTTCATCTTCTAACTGTGCCATTCTCAATTCCTTCTAGAAATCATTGCTAATCTCAGTGGAATAGGCACTAGTTAATGCCTTCAATGGTGCATCTTGCTATTACTTAACAAACGACTCCAACAATCTGTATTCCTTAACCATAAGACTTGCCACATGCAAAGTCTTCCGGCTCAAAGCATCAGTAACCACATTAGCTTTACCCGGATGGTATTTCAATTCAAAGTTATAATCCTTAAAAAGCTCCATTCACTTTCTTTACCTCATATTCAGTTCCTTTTGATTCACTAGGTATTTCAAACTCTTATGGTCGCTAAACACAGTGAATACTGCACCATACAAGTAATGGTGCTAAATCTTTAGAGCAAATACCATTGCTGCAAGCTCTAAATCATGCGTAGGATAGTTTTCCTCATTTGGTCTCAATTGTCGTGAAGCATAGGCTACAACTTGACTATCTTGCATTAAGACACAACCAAGACCTTTTAAAGACGCATCCGTGTATACCTCGTAAGGTAACCTTAGATTAGAGATAATCAACACTGGTGCCATGGGCAATTTCTCTTTTTGCTTCTGAAATGCCACTTTACACCAGTCGTCCCATATATAAGGCTGATATTTTCGAGTTAGTTTAGTTAAAGAAGAAGCTATCTGGGAAAATCCTGGTATAAATCGTTGATAATACCCAGCTAATCCCAGAAAACTACATATCTCCATGACTAAACTAGGACGTTCCTATTTCAACACTACATCAACCTTATGCGGATCCACTAAAATTCCATCACGTGTCCCAAAAAATCTCACTTCTCTTAACCAAAACTCATACTTATTGAGCTTGCCATTCAACTTTTTATCTTTTAAAATCTGCAGTTCTGTTCTCAAATGCCTCGCATGTTGCTCCTCATTCTCAAAATAGATCAGGATGTCATCTATAAAGACCACTATAAACTGATCTAAGTACGGCATAAAGATTCGATTCATATAGTCCATGAACACTGCTGGTGCATTGGTCAAACCAAATGGCATAGCCAAGAATTCATAATGGCCATACCGAGTCCTGAATGCTGTCTTAGGTATATCTATTGCACTAATTCTCAACTGATACTACCTCAACCTCAAGTCAATCTTAGAAAAGACTGAGGCACCAGCCAATTGATCTAAAAGATCATCTATCCTTAGTAGAGGATACTTGTTCTTCACAGTTACCTTATTCAATTGCCAGTAATCAATACACAGTCACAAACTGCCATCTTTCTTTCTCACAAACAATACCAGTGATCCCCAGGGTGATATACTTAGTCTGATGAATCCTTTCTCTAGTAAATCTTCAATCTGCTTCTTTAGCTTAGCCAAATTTGATGGTCACATTTTATAAAGGGCCTTTGACATTGGTTTAGTTTTAGGAGCCAAATCAATTGAGAACTCAACTTCCCTTTCAGGAGGTAATCCAGTCATCTCTTCTGAAAATACCTTTGGGAACTCACTTACTACTCCAATCTTCTCAATCCTACCATCATACACCATGCTGACTGCCAAGAATACCATAAAGGCATCACAACCTTACCGGATCAACTTCTCAGCACTTGCTACTGATAGAAACTTAGGTCGCTCTGAGGATTCCACAACTACACACAACACTGGTAGTGAAACCACCCTTCTGGCATAATCAAGCATAGCATTATTCGCTGCTAGCCAATCCATGCCAATTATCATATGAATTCCTCTCATAAGAATACAAATCAGATCGATCTTAGAAACTCTGTCCTCAAATCAAATCTCCACATTCTAACAAGCTTGACTTGTAATACTAGACAATCCAGAAGGTGTCATCACTTTAATGAGCACAGGTAATTTTTGTAAAGACAATTTCAATCTATCCACACATTCCTTAGACATAAAAGAATAGGTGGCACCTGAATCAAACAATGCCTCTACTTTTTGACCATTAACAAAAATCATACCTCTAATCAAGTTCAGAGATGCTCTGGCCTCTTCCTGGGTAACCGCAAATACTCAGCCAGGAACCATCGATCTCTGCTCAGTCCCCTCAACTCTGCCTTCTGGGCATTGCCTTGCTATATGACCTAACTTACCATACTTGTAGCAAGCCTAACATCTTCGAGTACTTAGAGTCAGAGCTGGAACATTCGACGCTTGCTTTGAATACTGTGGAGGCCTAATTCTCACACCTCTACCCCTCTGCATTGACTCTTTATGCACAGGTTGAGACTGCAATCTTTGACTAAAACCTCTTCTTCCAAAAGAATTGGAACTGCTCGCATTGAACCCAGGCCTCTTTGAGATTCCACCAATCAGACCTATAGGAGATGAAAACCTCCCCATACTATCTTGCCTCCTCTCAACATTTGCCTCTCTACCATGCTTAGCTGCTACCCTTAGCTTATGGCACATCTCCTCATATGTCGTCACATCAAGCAATGCTATTTGTTATCGGTACCCGGGTCTCATCTTTTCAAGCAATCTTTCAACCTTCCATTTCAAGTCATTACTATGCTAGAGATATGTGAAATAAGATGACAAGTCATTAAATCTTCTTATGAATTCTTCCTTATCTAGGTCTCCCTACCTGAAAGTATGAAATTCCTCTTCCTTCTCAATCCTGAATGAGACTGGAAAATGTTGATCAAAGAATATTATCTTGAACTCATCCCAGCTGAACCGAATACCACCAGTTGGCTTCACAGATTACCACCACCTCTTAGCAACACTAACCAGCTGCACCGTGGTTAAGATAACTTTTTGCTCCGAAGTACATATTACCACCTTAAAGATGGTTTCCATTCGCTCTATCCACAATTCTGCTTTACCTTCCCTCATACTTCTATTAAATGTTGGCAGGTTGAATCGAATAAACATCTTCCAAGCACGATCAATAGATAGATCAGTGCTAGGAATCTCTAATCCACTACTTAAATTCTGAGACAGTCCAGGTCTACTATATGCTTCCTACACTGGGGTATTCTAAGCTTCAACTCTTTCTTCTTGCTCTCTACCCCTTAGGATCGTGTCATGATCCCTAACAGTTTGTCTTATGTTGATAACTATATCCCTGAGGTCTTCCAGTAGCTCATCACATCTATCCCTTTGTGGCTAAACTAGTTGAATTTTTAGCTCCCGCTCTTCCTCTATAACCCATCTAGATACTACGGTTCTCACATGAGTGCCTCTCATACTGTACTATTTTCTCTCCTCCTAAGGATGAAAATATGAAACATAAAGGACATCAGGGAAAGAGTTGTGTAATGAACATGATAAGTTGCCATATTTCTAAATGAATGCATCAATAATAGTCAGGTCTCAAAAGCTGAGAAGCTGATACCAAAATGTAACCTCCTCTTATATATCTTACTCAATATATAAGAAGATTATAATGTTACCACCGCCTCACATCAATCATAATAATCAAATTTTATTTTAAAAGCTTCGGCCGAAGACTTATTTTGCAAATCAATCAATTCACAATACAATTAGAGAAATACATAGTGGAAGTAGATCATACACTCCTCTAATACGTAATAGACATTACCCACCAGCATTCCTATCTCAATGGCATACATTTCATCACAAAATAAAACTGAGATTTGGTTTGTAGGCCATGGCGTGTAGTCTGTGCGCTGCGGCATGTGGCACAAAGCCACATACTCACTCTTTCTATGCCGTGCACTGCAACATGTGTCACCATGCACCGTAACGCGCCTATCCAATTTTCTTTTGTCATTTTGATAGCAAAAATGATGAACTTCCAGCATGCACCGTTTTCACATGCGACGTCCAACTGGAGTGATTCAAGAACCTACACGACTTAGCTCGTATACTAACTAATGAGATAAGTTTGGACATGATCTAACAGTTCGATCAAAATTTAGACACCTGGGTGCAAAAAGTCTCTTTTTTTGAAAATTTTGCGCACCCAAGCAATCAAATTGATCCCTTACTCTCATTAGATCACACTAGGCCTTAAATCAAGTCCAAAATGATCTAATACACCTGATTGACCACAATTAAATACAACCATACTCATATCAAAATTTGACCCTTCTACGGTCAATTTTTACAATTTCACTAACTTTACACACCTTGTCATTTTTTGGCATAATTTAGCCCACTTGGCTATTTCTCATCACATTCAAACATATTTATATTCACAATATAATCTTAGCTCCCAAATTACTCATTTCATCATAATTTGTCCCTTGGCTAAGATTTCACCTATACACATTCATTTCAACACAAACATACACAATCATAGCCCCTTAATTTATTTCAACACATATACACACAATTGGGCTAGATTTTACAAAATCTCAATTCAATTCATGCATACAACCCTATGGTAACTCATATACACTTATATATACATTCTCAGTTCAGTTCATTACACAAACTTATAGTCCACAATTTCACACTCAAGCTAGACTAGACTCTCTTCCCTTGCCCTGATCACTTCTCGGTCCCGTAAACATGTAATCATGAGGGTGAGACAAAAATCTCAGTAACAGAATAACTCACTCCTATTGACTATCACATGCATTTATATGAAAGTAAACATAGTATATTATTAAAACCTCATAAAATAGCATTTATATCACATATCTCATTTCCTTTTTCAAATTTTCCTCAATCACAAAGGATTCCATGTTATCTTAATGTATTTCATTATATCACATAACATGCTAGCATGATCTCTACCAACCTAACCTCCAAATCACCCTGACACAAAACCATAGGCTCATCTTAGACTAATGTATACTCTCATTAGTCTTGAGCTCACCTGCAGTGATAGAATCATCCAGCCAAAGATGTTCTAACGCATAATACAGACTATGGTTTCCTTCAATACACACAATGGGGCATCATTGACTCCAATACTGTATCACAAGGACATTAAGGAGTCTCTCATCTCTAACATTGTACCTCAATAGGCACTAAGGAGATCTTCTTCGATACCGTACCTTTTAAGGCATTAAGAAGAATTGTTTCCAACACCGCACCCTAACGGGTACTAAGGAAACCTTGTCATATGGTCTTTATCATCTCTTACACTCAGGTGAACTCCCACCCCTATGATCATGCTTTTCCGAATCATTTAAGGTTCCCATTTACCATTTCACACTTTCTTACACATAATATATACAATTAATACTTTACATTACAAAACACACATTTTCATGTTATTTCAACTAAAAGCCATTTCACACAACAATCACTCAATGCTATAAAACATGCTTAATTTAAAATCATTTCATGCACTACATAATATACTAACATACAATTACCATAATCAGTCAAACAAATGAAGTTATTTGATTACCTCAACCCTTCTATCACTAGAAAGGTTACCCATGAATTTCAACTATCACACAAGCTTATCTCAAGCTTCCTTTCTCTACTCGCACATCTAATATGCCAACCTGAACACATTTGGCACATTTTAGTCATTTGGTCTATTTTGACCAAAAACTCATTTTTACTACCTAAGGCTATATTCATCCGTAAAATCTTTGTCATTTATCCATTCTAAGTCCATGACTACCCAATTACTACTTTACATCATCTCAACGGGTCTTATTTCACTTATATCAGATTTTTTTCCGTAACTTTCTCTCTCTAAGGGCTAAAGTTGAGCCTATGGGTTCAAAGCTCTACCGTTCAGCTCTAAATTAGTTACAAAGCTCTAATTTAACTTTTGAGAACATTTTTATTACTATTGGGCAAGAATTAAATCCCTCAAATTCCACCGATTCAATTTCCCCATAACTAATTTTCAGAGAAATTTGTGTAGAATGGAAGGTAAGTGTTATACATAGCTTACCTGACAAGTTATCGATCCTAATCACCTTGCACCACTCCAAAATGGCTTGACTTAGCTTCTCAGCCCTTCTCCTCTCTCTATCTTGTGTGTTTCTCAATTTCACTCTTGTGAAATTTCACGACTTATGAAGGCAATTTCTGATCCAGGCACTACAGTGCATGCAGCACAAGTATTGATACATGGCATAGTGAGATTTATTCTCACCATGTGCACTTGTTTCGACCCGAAATGCACTCCTCTTAGTCATATCTACTTACACAACATACAAACAAGTCAAAATACCAATTAATTATCCGAATCTCTAATCCCACACTAACTTCTACTTCACCCTCGATTAACCTCTAAACATAGGATAAAGAAATTTAGGATGTTATAGTATGAGCATAAAGATTACTTCACTAGGTAAAACCAGGAATGCATTAGCATGGGCATGATGAGATTGATGAGAATGAATTCCTATATATGCATATGATATTACTTTTTACTTAAACACATGCTACTTTATCTCTTGTTTATGATTTTGCTTATTAACTGATAATTGAGGTTACCTCTGAGGTACTAGGACATATGTCTCACTCCGTTACTTTTGAACACAAGTAAAGAGAGCGTGAGAAGGCCATGAAAGGTAGCGAGGAAAGAGTAGTTTCATTTGGTAGTGGTATGACTACCATTGAATGAAATGAATGTATAATATTGTTAAAGTTTGTGTTGACAACTAGGATGTATAAGTGGTTGTGTATATGAATTGTGTTGTAAAACCTTGCTTGTATGTGTATATGATATTGCATCTCACCGAGAGTGCCCTAATGATGGGTACATGGGTAGGCTTAGATGCCATTCAAGCAAGTGTATGTATGTCATTATGTAACTTATTCTACTTGTATACATATGTGTAGAATGTGAATTGATTGTGAATTATGTATATATGTGAGAACTTGACACAAATGGTGAGGCAGAGCCTTATTTGGAAGAGTCAAGTATATTGTGATTCCTGACCATATGGTGAGGTAGAGCCCCATATGTAAGAGTCGGAGGGTTAAAAGTGAAACACGTCTAATTCTTTATATGTGAATATGTGTTGTATGTATTGTGCCTCATATAAGTCCACAAGTGTGTAATGTGGCATTGAGAGTTTAAAATGGGCAATTGATATAATATATGTGGTATGAGATGTCAATCAGGTGTATGTGATCCTTTTAAACTTAGTTCAAAGCCCGAAGTAGTCTAATGGGACAAGGAATGTAAATTGAGCACTTAGGGTGCAAGTTTTTAAAAGAAAAGTGACTTTTTGCACTCGGGTGTCTAATTTTAGATCGGATCATCAGATTGGGTCCAAACTCATTTCATTAGCTAGTATATGTTGTAAGCTTCATGGGGGGCTTGACTCACTCCAATTGCACATTGGATGTGGAAATGGTGCGCGATGAAAATTCATCTTCCAAGCTATCACATGACAATAAAAATTACTGTCATATGCATCGCGACGCATGGTGTACCACGCTGCGACACATGACACAAACGAAAACAGAGCACGTTGCTCTGTACTACATGTTGCAGTACATGTGGTGCATGGCCCTTT